AATGTTAATTTGGATTGATTGCTCTTTTAATTAACGTGACTACTATACTTGTATCATTACCATATCTGATGACACTGGGCTGAGACTTCAGCGGGATCTAAGGCTGAAACGTGAGTTATCAAAGTCTTTAAAGTGAGTTATCAAATCACAAAAGGGGGAGACAGAACGCACAGAAACCAGGCATTGAAATTAAGGTCAGAAACAACGCAGTAGCTGATAGTGTACCTCTCAAACACTTCAGTCTTGGGTCCCCTTTACACTCTTGAAAATTACCGAGTAACTCAAAGAGCTTTGATTTATGAGGTTTATGTCAATTGATATTTACCATCTTATGTATTAAAACTGAGAAAATTTCAACATATGTATTAACTCATGTAAAAAATAACAAATGTGTTAACATAAATAAAGTTTATGAAAAAAACTATTTTCCAAACCAAAAAAAAAAAAATATTTAGCAAGAAGAGTGTCATTGTTTTACATTTCTGCAAATCTTTCATGTCGGACTTACTACAAGACACCTGAATTCCCCTCTCTCTTTCTGCATTTAATCTGTTTCTATATCACATCTTGTATAACCTCTGGATACTCATAAGACAATGGAGAGTTTCAAAGGCAAATCACGGCTCTGAATTATTATAAAACTAGTTTTAACTTCACAGACTTCCTTGAAAGGGTCTTGAGGATCTCCAGGGGTCCCAGCACCACACTTTGAAAGTGACTGTATTAGACAAATATTTTAAAAAGTATTAGATAAGGATGATTTGCAGACAAGCAGAAAAACATAGCCCATCAGTGAGGTTGCTCAGTACACCTATAAATTCTGGTGTTCAACAGGTCTAGAATTGCAATGGGGCCGAACCTACAGAGACAGTTATCCATGATCCTATTTCCAAACATACAATCAACTCGACAGAATCTCCTCCAGGTGATCATGGAATTGTAAGCACCAGCCAGAAAAAAAAAAAAAGACATGGCTTTTGCATGCATTAAACTAAGATTGTACTGACAAGCCAATAATAAAATCTACAGAAATAATTACATAATCAAGATTAGGTCATGGCTTCACTTCATTACAATAATTATGGTAAGATAATAGAAAGCACTGCTGAGGGACAGTTCCCTTTCCTGAAGAGCTATAAAAATAAAGTGGATACCCACATATTTAGAATAGTGTAAAGATATTCCTTTCTGGAGACAGAGCATGGACCAAAAACCTCCCACAGACTTGCAAGTCCCTCTGAGCATGTCCATCCCACTGAAATGGGCTCTGATCATCTAACAATTCCCCCTTTACACATTTTTCTACTTCATGCACAATAAGTGCTCTAAATATTCTCCATTTGCAGTTTTTTCTCCTTAATCCTTCTGTTTACAATGGTCTTTTGTTCCATTTCCAGCCTTACTTTTGTTTTGTCAATTACATTCACTGTTCCCTACCCCTTTCCATACACCTACATGTGAGCTTATATTTTAAAATACAAAAATCTTCTGCATTTTAAAGACAATAGTAACCCAAACTAGGAATAAGCTAAAAGAATAGTAGGGGAGTGGGGTGGGGTTGGGGGGCAAAAAAAACAATAGCTTCAAATGACAGAAATTATTTGAAATAGACACTTGCACATTACTTTGAGAACAAAAGCATTTTCAACTGATCTCAATACTTTATGTTCTGCTTGTATCATCAACACCCACTTGTTCTCTCTCAATCTATAGGCCCTTGGAAGGGAAAAACAATGATAAATCGAAACCTGTCTTCTATGAATACACATAAATGACTTGGTAAAGATACCAACAAAACAAGTAAGGCCTTTTATCTTAGAAAAAGAAGGTATCAAGGAATGGAGCTTTAACTCCTGTATAATACAGTCAGTTAAAGCTCTCTAAATCAGCCAAGGGCTGTAGCTAAGCAACATGATTCTTCACTTGCTCAAAAAGGGGGCTGCCAAGCATCAGTAGCCTCATTTCTCACTGAAAGCTTTGACAAGTTTCCACCATATTTTATATAATTGTAGCAGAGGGAGTGCCAGATTAGATCTGATTTGCTGTCATAGTGGGATTTTTTCCCACATAAGCTAATGATGCAAAGCTATATTTAACCCTCAAAAAGTCACCCTCAGGCACTCACTGTATATTCTGATTGCCTCTCATATCTAGAATTGGACAAGTAGCAATTTTTCTGCTACTGAATATGACAAAAGAAAAGGTTTAATAGGTAGGGCTTTTTTTTTTCCCTGATTGGCTCCATTATAAATTTAGCTACATATTCCAAATCTGTTCACTAACTTCATATTTCATCAGATGTTCTCTTACTGAACTGAAAAGACCAAGAAAGTCTGGTACTTTCAGTTCACATCCTTTGGAGTATGCAAGTCAATTCTCTTGCCCTGCCCTGCATATGCTGTATATCACCCACCTTCAAACTCAGCCTCACTCTGATCCCAAGGCCACAGAGAAGCTTTGAAGCATTTTACATGTTTTGTATTTAGCGATGGTTAGAGTCCATAACCTATGTATTGTCACATTACAATTTATGATAACGTATCATAAAGGTGGTGAATCCCCTTGTCACCCCTGTACACAGTAAGCTGCCATCCTCCATATTCACCTTTGCTTTATTCCTGCATTCTGATTTGTGTTCTAATTCGCTACTAGGAGTAGGTCCCTTCCCTTAACCCAGCCTTTTAACTGATGCCCAGACAATGTGCATAGACAGAGAGCCAGTCTATTCACCCTGAAGAGTCAGGTAGTTCTATCCTTTGTACATTCTAATTCAAATACTTCAAAGGTCCCAACACTGGATCAACAGATTCACGAAGGTTGGTGATATAATCCAGTGACATGGAATGCATAAAAGGAGTGTCATTCAGGAGCAGACTCCAAACACCATGACCCTGTCCTAGCTGGAAAATTGATTTATCTCCTACTCTAAGGTATCTGATTTCTTGATAAGCAGAAGAGGCAAATTAGATTATTTAAAAAAAAAATCAATGGTGCTCTCTATAGTATTGCCTCCTTTCTGGCTTAGATTATCCCAGATTTGCAATCGAATGTCAACATTTTTTGGCTTTTTCCATCTCACTTTCAACAAAATTTATCAGTCTTGCGTTACCATCCCAAAAGTACTTAAGAGGAAACTGGACATCAACTCGTAAAATCTAGCTGAATAAAGGTGACAATGCTGAGTAATAGTTTGGTTTATCACAGAGAACAATCAGAAAATCTCAGGTTTGCCAGTCACGAACACATAAAAAGTGAGAATTCAAGGTAGTAGGGTAGTAGCAGTACAAGGACAATGAGACTATTCTTTTGAATGGAAATATCTTGTAATGATTCCTTTTAGAGTATACTAGGCATAAAATTTTAAGTTGTAGAAGAATTTAAAGATGTATCTAGTGCAAACATATAGCCAATATTGCCTGCAGTTTTAATGAGCCCCACAAAATTGTCACGTGGTACCTTTCACTGTTGAAAATACCAAGGTCTACAGCATCCTCTCCAAATGGTCATCCCTGCAAGGTGTGACTGAACAACTGTAACCTTCAAATTTACAGTCTACTCTTTTAAAATGTGTATTTTTAATTTTTTAACAATCCTGATTATTAAAAAGTTCCACTTACGTTGAGGTAAATAGAGCCTTCTGCAGTTCCTGTTTTACTAGTAAGTCACACACTAGCCCCTGTATCCCCTGAGAAAAAGTATAAGTATCCATATAACAACTATTTTGATATTTGAAGACAGTTATCAGATCATGCATGAGTCTTTCATTTCCTGGAAAAAATTCTCAATTTCTTTGATTCTTCAAAAAGTAAGGTTTCAAAGTCCTTCATAATACAAATTTTCTCTTCGGAGTGATTTCACTTTATCTATACACACTTTAATGTATGGGAACTGAAACCTGTCATATTATTTTAGGTATTTTCTGCTAAGTTCTGAACACAGTAGAGATGTGATCCTCCCCAGATCTAGAGAACAACCTCAGACTATGTTGGCTTTTGCTATGGTTTTGCAGCCACACCATACTGTTGACTTATTTTCAACTTTCAATTATCCTCCTAAATAGTGTTCACATGTGATCAAACCAAACCTCCTCAATCTTGCCATGCTCAAAAAGATACGAATTCTGATTCACATTCAGGATCTTATCTTTGCTCTGATTAACTTTCATTATGGTGGAGCTGTCCATTTCTCTAACCCAGCAATATCTTTTTAGTCTCTGATATTAACTTTGAATGAATTTGTTATTCTTAACTATGAGTCTCCTACATAATTATTCAAAGAATAGATGAACATTCTGATCAGCACAAAGCCCCACATAAAGCCCTATTAAAAAAACTACCATAACCTTCACTGAAAATTAGTATCACTTCATTCAATCACTTAAACACAAATCCAGGGACTAGAGGAATTCTAATTCCTCTCCTACTAAGAAGGATGCTGGATTTTCACAGCAATTACTCTACGGAATACCAAAGCAGCATGTCTAAAGTGACGCCTGGTATAGGTCGTCACCTCTCCTACCCAATTTCCAATGTTAAATGTAGTTTGTAATCTAAAATGGTCTGTACCTCCTCACTTCTAATCCTAAATGAATTCATCTGGTTATATATGTTTACTAGATAGCAAAAAGTACACCATCATAATAAAACAAAAATAGGCCTAGAATCAGATAAATCTGGATTATAATCCCAGTTTTACTCACTATTTGTATGATTATAAACAAGTTATTTAGCCTGTCTTGGCCTAGCTTTCTCATCAGTAAAATAGAGGCTTTCAAGATTCAAGAAATGCATATAAAGCACACAGACCAATTTTTGACCCAAACCAAGCACTACCAAGTAGCTGCAGCCATTATTGGTGTTAAAAATTAATAAGAAACCTTATTTTTCAGATTTTGATAAAATCTACTGAGTTGAAACAAGAGAAGAAGTCAAATTTACCCAGAGTTTTTACTGTGAATTCATCTGCTTCCTACTGCAACCTTCAACTGGGGGTTATTTGCATTAGCAATTTTCACTATGATCCACAAAGGAAAAAGGAGTCTCTAAATATAGAGATGAATCTACCACCTCCTCACAGACACGCTCAAGGTTCTTCCAATTGTCTTTGTTCATCATCTTCTTCCCAACTCCATACAAGTTCTAGATAGAGACACCACCAACATTTACAAGATAGACAGATTTTTCTTTCGAGGTTGCATATGCCCTCTTGCCTTTAATCCACCCTCCTTTTACAAACTATGACCTGGCTTATATAAGTCACCTTGTACACATTTCCACAGTTAGAAATTTCACTTCTGAAAACCAAAGGGCTCACACTCCGGGGGAAAAAACATTGGCTGCTTCTTACCATGCCTCTACTCATCTACTCAATACATGCCAGAAAGCCTTCCTTACAATTATCACTCCTCTCTGTATCCCCAAATGCTTACTAATCCTTAAACCATACTGGAGAACCTGTTTATTTTCTTTAATCTATATAATGAACATCCTTCTACATCAATGAATGAATAGTATTCATTTTAAGTGGCACAATGGTATGATTTTGTTTTGATGCATTGTAATTTAGTTACCCAATTCATTAATATGCATTAGTTTCTAAATTTTTGCTACAATACTGTAATAAGTAGTCTAGTATGTATATATTTATGAATTATATTTTAGAATTTTATTTATAGTCTTCAGAATTTTCTGTTTTCTTAGATTAACTATATAATTTTTAAGAAATGAGGTCTCACTCTGTTGCTCAGATCGGAGTGCAGAGACGCAATCACAGCTCACTGTAGCCCCAAACTTCTGGGCTCAAAAGATCCAACAGCCTCATCCTCCTGAGTAGCTGGAACTTACAGGCATGTGTCACTTGCTAATTTTTAAAATTTTTTTGTAGCAACAGGGTCTTGCTATTTTCCCAAGGCTTAGATAAAGTATTTAAAGTAGAAGTAGGGAAAAAACAGGTAGAACAAAGAAGGGTGCATGTTTAATGGTGACACATTTTTACCATATTGCCAAAAATTTTTATAACAATTTACATTCCTACCAATAACACATGATAATATCCTCACCAACACTGAGTACAATTTTTTACTGCTTGCCAATCCCATAAGTAAATTCCTACACTTCTTAAATATGTGTGAAGACTTCTCTTTCATAGGTCTTTTGTCTCAGAAATTAATATGTGATATTTTAGTACATACCACCTAGAAAATTTAGTACATAAAAAAGTTAAAGTTAATTGCTATATTTCTAAGTTCTCTGGTTGCCTCTAGAATGCAATGATTTCTTTTAAATTATAAATTTCCTGTCTTATTCACCACTGTATCCCTAGGACCTAAAACAATGAATTTGAAATAATGTTATAAAAGGCATCCCATGGAAAAGATAGCATAGATTTATTAGCCATAATAAGAAGAATTACTAATTATAATAGTTTAGCAAACTTTTAAAGTGGCCTCAAAGAGAGAAGCCTAGTAGTACACCTAATTACATGTGATTAGACTAAAGTCAGAATTGGGTTGCATGAGACAGTGATGGAAACAGTGGTTTAGTATTTAAACAGAATACAACACACAAATAGCTTGCAACTGTACATAAGGAAAGCCATACTGTGTTCTAATAGTAAAAGAGATGTCTAGACAACAAGGAAATAGTTTGATGTCACTTAGTTTCCTAAGAAACAGATCTTCTCTCTCTCTTTCCTCCAACCATGAGATGGTGATAGCCATTGGTTAACTCTTGGCTCAGTTGCTGGAAACAGTCAGCCTTCCCTTAACTGACTTATTAGGCCCCCAGGTCAGTGTTTTTTGGCACAGTGATCTCTAACCCTAGCTTTGAAACAATTCTAGAATCTCTATTCCAAATAACTCTTGAGAGCATAGTGGAAAACTCAGAAAACTATTATTGGTTTCTATTAATTTTAAAAAGAAAGACTATAACAAAATCACACAAGATAGGCTTTAGAATTCCAAAAACAAACGAGGGTCCAGATAGTGGTGGTATGGCCTAGCCTGGTAAAGCAAAGATATGTGACTGAAACAGAGAATTAACTTAGAAAAAGAAGACTTAGAAGGTAGCTAACAGCATTTTTCAAATACCTGAAAGGCAACTACTACAAAAAAAATTAATTTTATTTTGGGCAACTGGTCAAAAACAATGGCCATGTATTATAGGGAGGCCAACTAACAACAACAAATTGTCTCCATTAATTCAATGGCGTCAGGTACTGTGCTATGCACAAATAAACACCTGATCATTGTCCCAGATTCCAAAAGAAGAGTGTGACTTTAAATTAAATAACCACATTTCATACTAGTAATAAGAGAAAAGAGAAGTTGTGCTACAAATACAATTAAAATGTAAATATCCGCAATGATTACTGGTGTTTACTCCTCACTTACTGAAAGACTGTTAGTTTCCCGTGTGAAATAATGGCATTAAAATAGTTTGCAACACTCTCATTACATTTAGTTTCAATTGCACTAATATAGTAGATCACTGGAAGACTGCATAAGCCAAAATTCATTTCAAGTTTGTCCTTAAATGTCCCTCAGTGAATTTTAAGGCAAAGTTACTGACTCAAGTGTACAAGGAAAGTCGGAGATTTGAAAGTTCTCACTCATAGGCGGGTGTTGAACAATGAGAACACATGGACACGTGGAGGGGAGCACTACACACTGGGGTCCGTTGGGGGGAAAATGGGGGAGGGACGGAGGTGTGGGGAGGTGGGGAGAGACAGCATGGGGAGAAATGACAGATATAGCTGAGGGGAAGGAAGGCAGCAAATCACACTGCCATGTGTGTACTTATGCAACAATCTTGCATGTTCTTCACATGTACCCGAAAACCTAAAATGCAATAATAAAAAAAAACCTATGTGGCTTGACTACACTAGACTGTATCCTGGAGCAGAGCTGTCCACTGCACCTTTCAACATGGAAGCCACTAGCTACACGGGCTATCAAATGCTTGAAATCAGGTTAGCGAGGCCAGAAGCTTTTTTTTTAAATTTTGTTTAATTTTAATTGATTTAAACTTCAAAAGCAACATGTGGCTAGTGGCTATCATACTAGATAGCATGGCTCTGGAGATAGGTGAACAATATTATTTGTTAAACAGAAATTTTCTGGAGAAAAGAAAAATGGTGAGATAGCAGCCACAAGATGAAACTAACATATAGCTATTTTTAAGTGATTTACTAAATGAAAAGTTAAATTAAATGAAAGCTCTTTAGAAAAGTACTCTAAACCCTGCTGTAGTCAGAGTAAGTTACATTTTACACATAAGAGGGTTTTCCTGCTTTCTTTGAGTCTTTGCATTCTATTCCTCTTGTCATATACCAAATGATGAGCCTTCTTATCTTCTTAACCTTCTTTAAAATTTATCTTTAGAGATTCGTTAAACTTACATCTAATGGAGTAGTCAAGAGGTACGAATAAATTTTCACCCAATACATTCCATAGAAAAGAGGATATAAGGGAAACTTAGGGCAATAGAAGACCAATGACTGAGGTGATAACACAGCCACTCCAGTGAATCTGACATCTTCAAAAAGTGTTCTCCAAAATAGAGTAAACGCGACTTTAATTGGAATGCAAGAAGAAAATACTAGAACTTCTCTCTACATTTAACTTTTTAACAAAAGAAATGTCAGCTGTTAAGCTTTGTTATATTTAGGACTTAGAGTAATATTAATGCCCTCAGTCACACGCTTCATATGATCACAAATCTGAGAAGGCACTAAGACATCCTGAAGGAAAACTGGGCATTTCAAGACAGAAACACACTGACAATGGTCACCAGTTTCCTTCATTTGCTTCAATTTTCCCTTTATTGCCTTTGTATTTGGACATTTAGATGAATTTTTAGAGTATATTGTTTTAAAGTGTAAAATATTTATGATTCTTCATGAGATGGTGTGTGACCCACAAAATCTTCCTCCATAAAGATTCTCTGATTATCTCAAATGAACTGCTCACTTCTGAGCTTAAAGAGTGGTTATACATTGCTCTTTACAAAAAAGGCAAGTGTTCCAAATTTGCACATCCATTCTGGGATGGCAAGTGGTTGGTTGTCAATGGTGTCTATGAAACAGGTATTTTAAAAATAAATAAATAAGCCATTCCTTCAAAGCCACTGTAACAATCCATTTGAAAATGGGTATTTTCAAGTGAACATTTGAAAAACGGATATTTGAAAATGTTTTCAGTGTTAAGTGGTTTTTGTTGCCAAAAGCTATAAATATTCACATATCTCTACAGTTTAAACGTGGAAGTAAAATGTCCTAGTATGCTTTAATATATTTTACATGAAGAGATTCAGTGGGTTTTTAACCTATTCTTTTAAAATATTAAAATGACCAGCTTTCAAATTAGTTTGCAAGGACCAATTGACATCAGGTAAGATGAAGAATTGCCAGCTGTAGCTCTGCAAATAACACCTCTGCAAAAATTGGTAGCTAGAACTAGAAAATGAACATCACAATTTAGCAAACACAGTTGACAATGTATTTCTTCAATTTGGACTGATATATCCTCCTGAGGAATCTTTCAAACATGACAGATATTAAAACTAAGTATAAAAATAAAGTGAACTTAGAGACCTCTGAATCACTGCATTACTAAATATTAAACTAAGATCTCCAAAAATTATGACATAATCACTCAAAATTTTATTAAAATTATAAACCAATTATATTGCTATAAAATGTAATTATTTTAACAAATATAATTTACATTAAAATATGATTTCATCTTCATTTCAATCTTGTTTTCTGATTTATAATATATTTAATATAAAAATATAACTGAAGATGTATATACTTTCTAAATTTAAAATACATATGTAAGATGGACTGAGGTTTAAAAGATATTTACTAATGGAATATAACCACAAAGTTTCCAGGATACTGTCTAAATATTTCCTTTTTCAAACAATGGTTTTTTAAACTTACTAAAGTGGAAACAAAGCAAAAGATCTTTAAAACAAAAATTAATACCAATTAATTTTACGTTTAAACTATTTCATAGAAAAGGATTTTACATACTCAAACATTGATTAAAAAAAGAAAAAGTCAAGAAGCTTTTAAATGGATAATGAAAACTGACCAAATCCATTCTGCAGTAATCTAGGCCAGTTATGAAGACATGTCCTTCAAAAAATGCTCAGTGGCCTTTAGACCTTGTAAAGACCTAAACTCATTGAGAAAGTATTTTCTTCATGAACCATTTCATTTCTATCTAAAATCCTCCTGAGGCTTTTGCCATTGGTTCCATATTACCTATTTCCAACGTCAGACCTGATATTCTGGTTGTACATACCCTAGGGGCTGGAAAGTTTTCCAACATTGCTAGAAAAATTTTTTACAGTGAAAAGTTTAACTCACTTCTAACTTTGAAATTTGTAACTTTGTCTATTGCTTACAAGAGAAGAATATTAAACGTTAGCAAGATAAAACCCACTTTAAAACAAGATGAGTGTCGTTACTTCTAACAAGATGGACATTTATAAAGACAGGACCCTACATCCTACAAATGTGGATCATATTAAGTGCTTCCTAAAATAAGCCAGTTTACACAGCGATCCTGGGGTGGTAACAGTGGGGTGGGGGTTGTTACAAAGAATAAAGTAGAACCAGAACACATGAAAAATGCCACAAGCATTTTCCTTCTGTTTTCCCAAGCAGGAAAAAACTCCAGAGAAGCCACCTTCTAATGTCTAACTCACATCCGTTTGAGAAAGGAATTAAAAGACTATTCCTAGTAACTACACTGAGGATGTGGTTTGGAACTGTTGCAGGTGCCTAGAGTGACCAGCACAAACTATATATGACCTTCAAGAAGCCCAATAAAATGTGTGAAGAGTTCCAGGACAGACCAGTGCAAGGAAAACTACCCCCATGAGGGCCTCCTGAGCACAGCCCATGACAAAGATTCTTTATTCCCAACTCCAGTAACTGGGCAAGAGTGACATAGAGTGCAAGTTGAACATACACTCTGTAGATCCACTGTTCTGGTAATGCTTTTTGATCACTGAGCCTCTTTCTGTAACATTTCAAATGAAACTGTAGAGTATTTTTTCCACTTTTTAAAGTAGGAATTTAATAAATAGAATACTCCCATACATAATCCCAAAAGTTATACATTTCAACTTAATCTCTGTTAATCAGAATAGAGGATAATATTTTATCTTGAAATAACCTAATTTATTTCAAAGCTTTAAAAAGACACAAAACCCAGAAAATGAATAATCCTGACGCAATGAAAATAAATCAATCCTCCAAAAGGAGAATGAGGTTCTTAAACTATGATCGTCTAATCAAATAAACAGATGGGCTCTAAGGACACAAAACCACACCATGATTATTAGAGGCAAGCAGCAACTGTAACAAACTGAAAAGTAAGTATCTCCTTGTTTCTAGGCAGACTGCTTAATGAACCACCCAGGAGCACCACCAACACAAGGCTATACAGAAATGAACACACACAGATCAATATCCACAATGTGACACCCATGCAGAAAAAAGTCCACTCTGGCTAAAAGACAATGCTAAGTGGCTATGTGCTCTTATCAAAACAGTATTGCTCTAGACATTGGCATGGAGATAATAATCAGGCTAAAGATATTCATCAAGCCAAGTGACTTGAAATTCCCATCTTAGAAATGCCAGAATCATCCAAAGTGGAGGCTCAGAAATGTTCAAAACCATAAGAGCAATTAAAGGAGACAAAAAGAAGAGCTCAATTTTTGTGAGTTAGCAAGGCAGAAGCACTAACATACATCATTGGGTCACAACTGAGTGAGGTGGAGAGGTAGTGAGAGGCAACTGTGGATGGTAGTCTGCAGAGGTGTATGGAGATGTGGGGATGTGTGGGAATGGGGGCAGGGGTGGGAAGGTATTAATGAATTAGGGGATCATCAGGATGTGGTGGAGAGATGTGATAGAGTTAGAGGGATATGGGGCGTTACAGGAGCTTCTTATGGGTTAGGTGGCAAGAGGATTGAGGGATGTTGTGGAGAGTATAGTGGCAGGATGAAAGAGTGTGTGGAATGTATGGCAGGTGTCGGAAACACTAAAAAGATTTAGGAGTGTGGGAGTGCAGGCGTATGTGGTTTGTGTGTGGCAGAAGTATGCATTATGGCCGCACACATGGTAAACATTCTATAGGCATATATACATGTATATGCACGCATCAATACCTGTGTGCCTGTCTGTGCACTTTTTTGTGTAATGGCACAAATAAGTGATTACTGTTAAATTTCCTTCTAATTTAAAATTCCTTCTTTAAAATTACACTATGTACAATTGCCTTTCACAAATGGCAAAATTCAAATTAAAGACGTAAATTACTACATTTGTGGAAATATCCCCTCTATTTTAAATGAAGCAAGCTGACTTTCCTCACAGACTCACGGATCGATGTTGGAATAGCACAAGTATTTAAGATCAGTAACTTTATTATATGTTCGTGTCATAGTTTGAGGACCTTGGATATGGACTACTAAAAATGAAATAACTAGTATGTCATATTTCTTCTCTGGAACTCCAAAAGACAAGTGATAGTCTTATTTCCAGAAGCACGATCTCCATGCCTGTTTCCTATCAACCAGAGTACCATCAAATCAAGCAAGGATAGAGACTAAAAACTGAACAAATACACACACATATACACAACTCCTAGACCCTGTACACTGTTTGCTACTTGTTTTCAAAACTGCCCCACCATATCTTCTCTAGTCCTCTTCTAGCAGATAGCAGTGTGTCTGAATAAATACCACCAATATTTTAATAAGCATCATATTCCATAAAAACGGGCATAATTTGGTTGACCCTTCCTGGGACTGTTTTCTCATCTCATGACTATTTTAAATGTCCAGCCCATTTTGAAGAATAGGGCCAGGCTTTGACTAAAGTCAGACTTCAGATGTAACCCTAGTATTGGCCTTCTTTCAGTCCCCAAATGAACAGCTATTTTGCACCCATTTTATTTTCTACTCCAATTTCAGTTTATTTGGCAGCACTGAGACCTACACAGATTTTTCCCCCAGTAAGATGCCTCTTATTTACCCACACAAATCTAACATATTCAAAATAATGCATTTCTGAGTTTCTCATTTGAGAGGATTTTATTTTCATCTTCTTACCTCTGAGTTGTTGAGGTGGCATTTATGAGTTCCTGAAAACCAGCCATCACTTGAGCATTGGTCAATGTCCACTTTCTGAAGATTTATGTCAACTTTCATGACACCCCTAGAAACAGAAAAGGATAAAAAGAATAAATTAATCAGAACATTTATTATTTCTCTGTATTTTATCCTTGAAATTAGACAAATTACCATAAAGAATAGACCAAAAAATTGTCAAATTGCCCACTTATGTTCAACCAAAGTAGAACTAAGAAAAGACACACAGCAGTAGAAAATCATTAAGTGTAGGTTTTATGTAAGTCCGAAGGCAAGGAGCTGTCTTCACTTCCTTATATTACGCCTGGTACATAATAGGTGCACAGTGAATGTGTGTTGATTGCCTGAACTCCAGGACAATATTGCTCTAGACAGTAGAAAATGTGACTCTGAAGTAACACTTGCTCTCAGAACCCCTTCTAGGAAACTGTATCAAAATATACCCTGCACTTCATTTCCTTCTACTCCTATTTCCCATTGTAGGGCTAGGAAGATTGGGGAGTAGGGAGAACAGTGTCAGAAAACAAGCATCTCTTTCCTCTCATCGCCCACTCTATGAACTCTAAACAGCTCTTTAGGTCTCCCAGTGTTCTACATTAAACATAGAGATTTGGATCACTACAGAAATGCTGACTGCAATTTTACTCTTTTTAATATGGAAATGAAGAGACTGTACTTCACTTAGCCATTTGAGAAGTGTCACTAAGAAAGACAACTCACAAATTCAGAGCCAGTCAAAAGCTAAATGGCAAAGAAAGCTCCAAGTTGCTCTAAAATTTCTCCCCTTTCTCCAACCAATCTTCTCTATATATTTTCCTAAGATTCACTTTTTTCTATTTTTCACCACCACCAAACCATTAGCAGCAGTTGCTGCAGAAATATCTGTCTAACGCTGAACTATCACACCTGGACTTTATTGAAATAAGTATTCTGCATCCTGGGCCCTAAAGCTTTATAATGTAGCTTTTCCATAAACTTAAGTGTAAATACCCCACTAAAAACTACTACAATTTAAACAAATTTCATTATGATATCCCTCACAAATATAAAACATAAAAGTAGGCTCAAATTCCTGATTTTATAGTTCTTGTAGCTACTAACAATCCCACAGAATTACAAAATAAATGCAAACAAAACTATAAGACCAACAAAAACTAAATTTAAAATAGTAATTTCAGAAAACAAAACATTACGCTTGCCAAAACAAAATCACCTCCTATAATAGGAATATAGTACTGACTACTAGTTAAACAATCCTATTTTGCCACACATCTTATGATTCATTTCTCTCATCTCTTTTCTCCTTTTAAACGACTGTGAAGCGTTCTAACAGAATGGCTTCATGCCACTTGGGCTTCCCTGGGGGTGAATAAATCATTTACTTTTTCAGTCTGCCTCTGTTCTTTTCTTTACCTGTGAGAGAAGTGCTACATTATCTAGTGTTAACATGCTCGAAAGACACACAGAAATAAATAAGGACATTAAAACGTCCTGCCGCATTTGGTTTATCCAGATAATCCAGAACATGTTTGAGTTGATTTTCTAGATTATCACTGAAATGAACACCTCAAAATTATATAAAACATGTAGATCTTTCAGAATAAACCTCATTTTGCAAAATACTACTATTGTGGGCCATAATGCAATAAAACAAATGTTTATGTGATAAATGCATTCCCAAGTAACCCAATGCCTTAAACCAGTTCACTCCTTTCCTCTTTCAACAAATATTTATTGTATGGTATGTGCATATCACCGTAAGATATATTATGCAGGACAGAAAGGCAAACCTACCCCTAAGGAACACTAAAAGCCACAGGACATTTTGAAAATAACTAAAGTATTAAATGGACAATGGATATCAAATTCTGGAGGATTTGGAAAGCTATCATTTGGAGTAAAGTAGGGATTCAATAACCATTCATTGACTTACTGACTGCTTTCACTACTAGACCTTTCAATCAAACTATGTTCCACAAAGGTCAATCCAATCATGTAAGCCCACTCACTTAGTGCCTACTATGTGCCAGAATTGCTCTTGGTTTTGAAATGCATTAGTAAGTAGGAACATACAATCCTGCCTTCCTAGAGCTTAATTCTAGTGTGGGACAGCAAATAGGTAAAACAAATGACTATATTATACTATATTTACAATATATATATATAGCTATATATTTTACAAAAATAAATAAATAACTTCTGTAAGGAAAAAACTTCAAGCAGATTAAGGGCATAGAATAGAAATATTTCAAAATTTTTTAAAGGTTGGCCAGGATAAGCCTCACTAAGGAGAGATTTCTGACTCAACAAAGTTCAAGGTATAATTAGAGCAGGTTTATAAGCACACTCTAAATCACCAGTATCATGAAATTTCTCACTGGACTACTGTCACCCACTACATTTTGGTTTTCTTTCTTGAGTATCTTATTTATAAGGTATTTGTAACTGGCAAACTAATCAATACGCATTTCTACTTGTTTCACAATTGTTAGTAATAATGAGGTCAAGTTTTTCTCAACAACCCTGCTGCTATGGCAGTCCAGTTTCCAGACAGTTGAAATCTCGAAATCTTCCAGTTTACCAGACAACTGGCTAACTTGGAAAATAAAAGGCTGCAATTACTGTGGTCATTTCCTTCCCTGGAGAAAACCGACTTCAGAAAAAGGCAGTTCAATTGTCTGAAAGCTTTCGCCCTTCATTCCAAGTTCATCCATGGAAACTAAAAAGTCACCACAGACCTCAAGCCCGGCTTGTGAAGCATTCTAGGCTTGTGAAAAACCACAAAAGATAATGAGCTGGGTTTCCCAGCTGGGATATCAACACTGAGGCTTCTTCATTAGAGCCTCAGCCTGGGTGCGCAGAGACTTAACAAAACCCTTGGGAAGGTGCTGTAGACTTCATGTCGGGGCAAGCGCAGGTCTGGGGGATATAATGCAAAGAAAACCATCTCTTTGTGAGGAAGAGCATCCTGCTGAGAGGGATGCAGAGACTGAACACCTAAGGAACCACGTGTCATGTCACAGACCAGGCCTGAGGAGAGCCCCACCACACCTGCCTCCCCTGAGTGGGCACCTCTGGGGAAAGTGCTGCTCCCACAGGTGCTGCTGGGAAATTCCAAGAGGAAGAAAGCCCATTGCTGACCGGATGTTGTTTCATGGCCTCAGAACCAGAAAGCCAGAGTGAAAAAAAAGCCTGTAAGGGGCCTCCAGAGAACAGAAAATACAGCAAATAGGATCCCCCAAACAGGTGCTCAAGTACACTGCAGATCACCATTTTCCTCTATTCGTCCATCAGTAGGACAAAATCCCTGAAGGGGGATTCAGCCCATCAAGCACGATTTACCTACTCGTCTTTCTCTGGGAATGGGCCTTTCCAAGTCAAAGCAATGGCCAAGTGCCGTAGGTTGGACTTCCTATGTGCTGCTTGCATCTTGACCCCTCTCTTCCATATACTTGGCCACTCCCTTGCTTGAAGCCTTCATCTTTCACGGATTAAGAAATTTAATAGAGCTGAGCGCGGTGACTCATGCCTATAATCCCAGCACTTTGGGAGGCCAAGCTGGGCGGATCGTAAGGTCAAGAGATAGAACCATCCTGGCCATGGTGAAACCCCGTCTCTACTAAAATACAAAAAATTAGCCGGGCATGGTGGTGCATGCCTGTAGTCCCAGCTACTCCACAGGCTGATGCAGGAGAATCACTTGAACCCAGGAGGTGGAGGTTGCAGAGAGCCAAAACTGCGCCACTGCACCCCAGCCTGGCAACAGAGTAAGACTCCATCTCAAAAAAAAAAAAAAAAAAAAAAAAAAGAAGAAGTTTTAACAGAGACTTCTGCCAAGATAGCTGAATAGGTACAGCTCTGATCCACAGTTCCCAGTGAGAGCAATCCAGAAGGCGAGTGATCTCCACATTTCCAACCAAGGTACTAGGATTATCTCATTGGGAATGGTTAGACAATAGGTACAACCCAAGGAGGGCAAGCCAAAGCAGGGTGGGGTGTTGCCTCACACACCAAGTGCAAGGGGCCACAGAACTCCCTCTCCTAGACAAGGGAAGCCATTAGGGACTTTTCCAGACACTCTGGCACTCTGGCTCAGATACTGCACTTTTCCCAGGATCTTTACAACCTGCAGACCAGGAGATTCCCTAGGATGCCTACAACACCAGCACCCCAGGTTTCCAGCACAAACCGGGTGACCATCTTAGCCGCAACATTTTTTTTCTCTCACATACCCCAGTGGTACCTGGAATGTCAGCAAGACAGAACCACTCATTCCGCTGAAAAAGGGGGCTGAAGCCAGGAAGCCAAGTGATCTGGCTCAGAAGGTCCCACCCCCATGAAGATCAGCAAGCTAAGATCCACTGGTTTGAAATTTTTACAGCCAACATAGCAGTCTGAGCTGGACCTGGGAAAGGTCCAAACTCAGTGGCGGGAGGGGCATCCACCATTGCTGAGGCTCAGGTAGGCAGTTTTAACCTAACCTGTTTAAATCTAAACTTCCAGTCACCTGGAAGTTTACACAGCAACTGGGCGGAGCCCATGGCAGCTCAGCAAGGCCTCTGCAGGCAAACTATCAACTAGATTCCCATGTTGCTAAACAGAGCATCTCTGAAAAAAGGCAGCAGCTCATCAGACACTTATAAATAAAGCCCCTACCTTCCTAGGACAGAGCACCTGGGAAAACAGGCAGTTGTGGGTTCCACTTCAGCAGACCTAAACATCCCTGCCTGGCAGCTCTGAAGGGAGCAACAGATCACCCAGCACAGAGCTCAAGCTCTGATAAGGGACAGACTGCCTCCTCAAGTGGCTCCCTGACCCCTGTTTATCCTTACTAGGAGACATCTCATACAGGAGAGCTCTGGCTGACAACTAGAGAATACCATTCTGGGACAAAGCTACCAGTGGAAGGACCAAGCAGCAATCTTTGCTATTCTGCAGCCCCCACAGGTGATTCCCAGGCAAGCAGGGTCTGAAATGGACCTTCAGCAAACTCCAGCAGACCTGCAGCAGAGGGACCAGACTGTTAGAATGAAAACTAACAAACAGAAAGAAACAGCTTCAACATCA